ATCAACAGGATGGGATACGTTACAGTGATCCCAGCTTGCGATGAATCCTCATGGTGTTAGCGTCAGCACAGTGCTTATGTGTTTTACAGTTCTTGGTTTGTTTGGTGTCTTCCTGTAGCTCATCAAGTACAGCATTGTGTTAACAATGCAAAGGTTGTGGGCTTCAATCCCATATAAATTGTCATCCTTCTCTCTAGTGCAAGTCACTATGGGTAAGAGCGTCAGATGAATGACTGTAATGTGTTACATCGATATTCTTAGCCAGCGATGGTTCTTTGTATCAGGTATATGTGGCTATGCCCACCTTTGGAACATGTAAGTGAAGCTTTGAGGGGACAGCTTCAGAGAAACCTTCTGTGAGGGGTGCAGCCAGGGGCAGGATCTCTAAGGCTCCACTCAGAAAGTCACTTTGCCCCTCTCTTCCCCCAGTGTAGTAAATGTTTGTTGTCATCAGGAGGCCCTAACCGTTGGGGACCCAGGGAGATGCATGGGCTGGCTGGTGGTAACTGGAGACCTGAAGGGCGATGCTGTCTCTGGGTTAGCAGAGTCCGGAGGACGGGGCAGATTTCCCCCGATCAGCACCTCCAGGCTGCGTCCGTGGGCGCGGTTTCCAGGCGAACGCGGAGATGCACTGCTCGGTGAAAAGCGATCCGCTTTCTTTAGGAAATAAAACTGCAAAATAAGGAGGAAGGTATCTCTGCACGCGGTGAGACGCCAGGGCAGGAGATGGCAGTGAGAGCACTGGACTGGTGTGCCCTGCGTGCTGGGGAGTGTAATCACTCTCATTCTGTACGCGGTGAGACGCCAGGGCAGGAGATGGCAGTGAGAGCACTGGACTGGTGTGCCCTGCGTGCAGGGGAGTGTAATCACTCTCATTCTGTGAGGACAGGCCTGGTGTTTGGCGATTAACCTGCAGAGTGTTATCTCACATTTGTGTTCAATTTAATGAGCTCTGCTGTCCTTGGGGGGAAAAATGATAACAAAATATGTACTTTCTGGGGAAAAATTCCCCGCAGAAAATAAGTGCCCCATCCATCCTCACTGCTGAAACCAAATAAAGGGTTAAGTATTTTTCTGTTATCAGTTTCCATCTGTTGTTGATTTGTCATGCTGTCTGGAATCATTAAGTGCATTAACATTAGAGTTAACGTCCACAGGCAGACAGAGGAGTGTGGCTGCATTCGGTGTGTGCCTCACTGACAGTGTCAGAGGGCATGTGACCTGTCACGGACTCGGGACGCTCTGCTGGCAGCTGTCGGTTTCCATGGAGATGGGAATCCTGCGGAGGGATCATGCTGGCTGTCCAGATTGCCGCTTGCTCCTTTAACTCGGCAGATGTACAGGTGCTGGGAACCTCCCCCCCCCCTCCTTCATTGAGGGACATTTATGTTACTGGGGCCAAACCCCATTTTGCTGTGTGCATTTTGCACCCACATCCAGCAAAAATTGCCCCACAGATCAGGGACAACTCCGCTGTCCTCTCCTGCCTCGAGTTCTCCTAGTGGTTATGTGTTTCAGCGAGTATGGCAATTCAGATCTGCAACTATCGCTTCTGTGCCCTGTGATGGGTTGGGCGCAGGGTTGTTCCATGCCTTGCGCCCTTAGCCTCCGGAATAGGCTCCGGACCCCCCGCAACCCTGAATAGGACGAGCGGTTTCAGAGAATGGATGGATGGATGGAATTATCACTTTTGTGGGCAGCTAGTGATGTCTGACTATGCTTCCGGTTGGTAGCTTTCAGCACAGTCTGGCTAAAACCTACTAGGCCAGGATATTTAATATTCTCATTTGAATCCTGGTGCGTTTGAGCCTCTCAGTCTCGCTGGGAAGGTATGGATAAAAGCCATATATATGCTGCTTTTATTTGGTAAAAAAAAAAAACCCATTGTGGTTAGGAGACACATAGGTGATGCAGAAGAGAGGTAAGAGAGAATTCATGGTGATTGTATATGATAACCAAACATGGGTGTATTTTTTACACTGTTATGAGAAAACCAGTTTCTTGGAAGCATTTTAGGGGAGTAAATAAGAGGATTGGTTATCAGCACTCCTCAGAAGATAAAGCCTGAGATTGATGTCGGGGGGGGGGGGGGGGGGTAAAATCTAGATGGGGGGGGGGCATTTGGGGGTATCCTGGGGCAGTAATAGGGGGAGGCGTGCGGCTCAGCAGATTAGGAGGCTGTGCCTGTTATCTAAAGGTTGCTGGTTTGAATCCCAGGTTCTGTAGTGTGATGGGCCCTTGAGCATAGATGTTTAACCTTGAGTCTTGCAGGGACTGTCTGACCCTGCGTTTTCAATCGTATGTCACTTTGGATACAAATGTGAGTAAATGTGACGTAAAGAGAAGGACAGGAAAGATCTGGGGGTTGTATCACCAAGCTGCATTTTTGGGTTAGCGAGATAACTTGTCGGATTAAAGGTAGTCTGGGCTAAATACGAGTCAATGAAGATAAAGTCTGTTTAAATTGGGGTACCTTCAATCTGACAAGTTATCTGGCTAACTAACAAATCTCACTTAGTGATACAGACCCCAGAGTGACTGTTTGGTGTAGTAGCCCTGGTTTGGTGGGGAGGTGCTTCAGGTTAATGGGCCTTCCAGGGCCGTCTGTCACCGTTACCATGGCAGCGACAGCGCCACGCCCTGTCTGTATGCAAGCCGGCCCTTTGAAGACATGTTGACTTATTGGAGAAATTGGATTTTCGTGGCTTGTCGTGGCAACTTCCATGCATTTTCATTTCTCTGCGGTTCGACGTTCTGTGGAAGCTCCCAAATTACATCGACGTTTTGTACTCCTGAATTTTTTTCTGCATCTCAGGGTGGGGGCCATGGGGGTGGGGGTCCGTTTCCAATTTCTCTGGGAAGGTGAGATCGATGCTATTTTAATCAGTGATATTCAGCACTGTCAGGGTTCTAATTTCCTCTGGTTTTCATTTATTCCGGTTTTCTTTTCAAAACAAGGGTCCTCTGCTTCATTGTGACACTGATTTTCTGGCCTTGCGACAAATGTTTATATGAACCAATAAAACCAGTGACGCTGAAGGAATTTGTTTTTAAAGTGCATTGAAGGAATGTTGCATGAGACATAATTAGGGTGTGTGTGTGTGTGTGTGTGTGTGTATGCACGCATTTATTTGAGTGCTCTTTCAGAGAGAGGTCCAGGCCTAAGCTTCTCTAGCAGAGTATGGGCTGCATCTTCAGGCCCCTGGGCTGATGACATCAGAAACTTAGATCCACACCATTCTCCTGTTCATACCTCCAAGGTCCCTGTGCTAAATCTGCTTTCCCTTCATGCCACTCTCACATTTACTGATTCTGTACTTTGCACATTACTCTGTTTGTTCATTCTGTAGTCAGTGCATTACTCTGCATATTACTCTGATAAATTTATACTCTACACATTACTCCCAGTTTGCTAAGTATGTACTCTGTTCATTACTGTTTCTAAATCTGTATTCTGTGCATTGCTGTGCTTGCTAAATCTGTACTCTACACACTGCACTGATAAATCTATACTCTGCACATCGCTCTCAGTTTGCTACGTCTGTACTCTGTCTATTTCTGTTTGCTAAATTTTTACTCTGTGCATTACTCTTAGATTGAATCTGTAACATGCACTTTACTCTCAGTTTATCCATGAAGGGATACAAGTTTTGGTAAGATTTTGTTTGTCTCCTTTGGTTGCTTAATATGTCAGTAACAGGGTCTTATGTCTTACAGAAGGGTTTCAGAATGGGGAGAGGCTGGGATGGGAGTCTTGGGTACATTCTGGGTGTGGTGACCCATCCAGAAAGGCTTTGCAGCAATGTAGGAGATGTCCGCCGCTTGCAGCAGCCCTTTGGGTTGATAGCCCTCTGAGGATTGGGTACATTCTGGGTGTGGTGACCCATCCAGAAAGGTTTTGCAGCAGTGTACAGTACGAGATGTCCGCCACTTGCAGCAGCCCTTTGGGTTGATAGCCCTCTGAGGATTGGGTACATCCATTGGATTTTGTACACGAAGCATCCGGGGTTGACGACTCTCATGCACCTGGTGTAACACTCACTGGCTTTCTTTTATTTCTTAGTCTTTTCATTTCTCTGTTTTTGTATCACAACACATCCATGAAAAATGCCCTTGGGTGACTCTGTTGTGAAAGGCGCTATATAAAAATGAATTGAATTGAAACTCACACTTCACATCACGCTCATGCAGGTGATGCAAGGCTGATAGGTGGCTGCTCATGTTTGTAGATGAAGACATAGAAAAACTGAGTAAGAGCTGCGTGGCGCATGAAGAATCTTGATGGGGGATGGAGGGGAAGGATGCAGATCTGCTCATCCAGCCCGGATCTCTGCGGGGCCCAGAGATGGGACACACAGACTGAGGGGTCTCCAAGCCCAGATGAAGGATTACATCCATATGATGATCAACACTGAAAGATCAAGTCTGGTAAAATTAGGTTAGGTGAAGGGGAGGTTCTCTGTCCTTTGAAACTGCCTTCACTCACCACACTGACTAAACATTGGCAGGGTTCGCATCTGTATACCTGTCTGTCATGTGAAAGACTACAAAGTGTCAGTGTTTACCAACAGGATTGTGTGTAAACGCCCTTTACTGGGCCATAGGAGTAAGAAATTTACCCTAGGAAGCACAGTTAAATACTTAAATACGGTATAAATACTGAAATACATTTAATAAATGACAGAACAGCTTGCTTTCGCACTGGGACCTCGCCTTTCGCAGTGCTATGTTCAGGAGTCTGTACTCGCACTGGGACCTCGCCTTTCGCAGTGCTGTGTTCGGGTGTCTGCACTCGCAGCAGAGATGGACACTCAGTATTAGCACACCATCATCCCCAGGTGGTTTGTCTGACCATCCAAGCGCCCCTCTCCACACCCCAACGAGACGAAAGTTAGCGCAGCTCTTCTGAGATCGCATGCAGTCTGTCACTCACTGACTCCCTCTCCCTCCCCTTTTACCTCCCCCCTCCCTCCCTGTCTCCCGCTCTCTCTCCCCGGCAGCGACATGAAGCAGGAGCTGGACGAGGAAGGCAGCCGCTGCTCCCTGCTGTCCAGGCAGCAGCTCTTTAACCGGCGCTGCTGCATGCGCTGCTTCTCGCCGTTCAACTTTCTGCTGAAGCGTAAGCGGCCGTGCGGGGACTGCGGCTTCAACGTGTGCCCGGCGTGCAGCAGCTACTGCGAGGAGGAGCGCGCCTGGCTCTGCAGCGCGTGCAACAAGAGCAGGTGGGGTCCGCACGGACGTGCTGGGGGTGTGAGGACAGCTGGGGGAGGGTCTAGGAGTGCACAGGTGTGTGTGTGTGTGTGCGTGTGTGTGTGTGTGTGTGTGTGTCACATAGTACGAGTGTTTTTAAGTGTCGGTGTGAGCGTGTGGGAGTGCCTGAATTTCCCATTAGGAACAATAAAGCCTCTCTATCTATCTGTACATATGTACATATGTCTGTTTACAGTGTATGTGTGTGTGTGTGTGTGTGTGTGTGTGTGTGTGCGTGTGTGTGTGTATGTGTGTGTTTGTGTGAGAGAGAGCGAGAGAGACAGAGAGAGAGAGTGAATATATCTGTGTGTGAGTGCATTTGTTTCTCTGTTAGTGTGTCTGTGAGTGCATTTGTGTCACTTAGTGTGTCTGTGAGTACATTTGTGTATCTGCTAGTGTGTCTGTGAGTGCATTTGCGTATATCTGCGTGTGAGAATGCATTTGTCTGTGCGTGTGTGTGAGAGAGTGTATTTCTGTGTGTGCATAGGATCGAAGACAGTACTTTCAGGTGTGATCTATCCACAGTGGAGTCACCTCGCTGTTCCCTAGAAAATGCTGGAAAAAAGGCTGATGGCCTGTGAGTGGGCGTGTCGGGGGCAGGGTGTCCGTCTGTCGCTTCCCAACAGGGGTGTTCCCCGCCCACCATTAAACTTCACAGTCCACAGCCTGCCTGGGGGGGTGTGCACATATCTGAGAGGGACCCCGCGCCTCTTTGGATTCCACCCAGATCCCGCGGGGCGTGATTGGATGCTCCTGCCCATACGGTCACTGAAAGAGTCTGCCGGCTCTTTCCGGCGAGTTCTCACTGACAGCTCTGAACACCCGGTTCAGGACTCTCACCCCCGCACCCCCCACCCCAGGCGAGACAGAGCTGCTTCTCCAAAAACTGGCTTAACACACAAGTGACCCACAAGAGCTGATCATTTAGACACATCACCATCTTTATACTTCTGATCTTTCAAAATTATGCACTTTTTTTTCCAGTTTATTTTTGGGGGGTGGGGCACTGTGTTGGGCTTCTGATTTTTTGTCAAAGTGTAACCATGGCAACAGGTAGACAATGCCCCTGTGGGTGATTCCAGTGTGTGTAATACCACTGCAATTGATACCTATGCATGTCATTCTGATGTGTTTGATACCAGTATGTGTTATTGACGTGTGGCTGATACCCATGCATGTCATTCTGGTGTGATTGATGTTGTGGTTGATGTCCCCCTCTGTTATACCCATGTGAGTGATGCCCCTGTGCCTTATAACCATGTGATTGATACCCGTGATGTTATTCTGATGTGATTGATACCTATATGCATTATAGATGTATGGCTGATAAACATGTATGTCATTCTGATTTGATTGATACCCATATGTGTTGCATGTGCGTGATTGATAGCCATGAATGGTGTACTGATGTGCTGGAATTTATGCTCATTTGTACCCATGTGATTGATGCTTCTGAGTTATACCGGTATGGTTGATATACATCTGTGTTATACTTCTGTGAGTGATACCTGTGTGACTGATACCCACACTTGTCATACCTCTGTGACTGATACCCATTTGTGTTATACCTCTGTGAGTGATACCTGTGTGACTGATACCCACACTTGTCATACCTCTGTGACTGATAACCATTTGTGTTATACCTCTGTGAGTGATTCCTGTGTGATCAATACCAGGTCAGGTCAGGTTGGGGAGCATGTGCTGATGCAGTGCGTTTCCACACCCACCACATAGCGAAACTCCTCAGGATCCCAGCTGGCGAGCCCCCCAGGCAGATACACGGTCCAGTCCCACCCTCTAGAAATGGCCATCCATCAATACCCATCTGTGTAATATCCATGTCAGTGATTCCTTTGTGATTGTTACCCACACTTTCTATACCTCTGTGAATGATACCCATTTGTGTTATACCTCTGTGAGTTATCCCTGTATGATTGATACCCATTTGAGTTATACCCCTGTGAGTGATTCATGTGTGGTTGGTTCCCATGTTTGCTGTACCTCTGAGATTGATAGCCAGTATTACACCTACGTTATTGATTCCTGTGTGTATTAAATGCGTTGGATTGCTATCGATCTGTCTTATACCTGTGTAAACTGTATCCATGGCGATATTAGAATATTTATTCTAATTTATTTATTCTAGACATGTGGGCTGGAGAGCTGGTGTATGATTTTTAGGGAGAAGAGTTGTTTTTGATGCCAGGGTTCTTTGCACTCCAAGGGATTCTTCTCATCCATTACAGCAGAAGGTTCAGTAGATTATCTCTAGCAGAGCTACCTCCTGCCTCCGATACATGTTGTGCTTTGTTCTCTTTCAGCACCGTCCTGATATCCTGGCAGATGCATGTTAGTCCTTGTAATTTCCCCCGTCAGGGTTAGCTGCTTGTGAAGCCTGTGCTAAATAATGCTTACCGTCACTCACAAACATGTCTCCTGGTGTGTGAACATCAGATGATCTATACTGTCCATGACATTCTGTAAGGATGGTATAGGCTGCTGTGGATGGGATCGTTATTGTCTCCTGGTGTGTGAATATTAGATGATCTATACTGTCCATGACATTCTGTAAGGATGGTATAGGCTGCTGTGGATGGGATCGTTATTTAAAAATTTTTTGGCTGACATTAGCTATTAATTGTTTACAGGATCATCACTGGAGATTAATGAACAGAGGGTGTATGCATTTACTAGGGAGGTCTGATTTTCTTTAAAAAGAATGAGAGTGCGCACTGTAAACTAATAAGTGTACATTTATTCGGGTGGGCTAAAGGACATTAATCCCCCCCAATGGGGACCAAATGTTATTGTTATGTTATAGGGTTATGCCCATAGAAATGAACAGACAGAAAGATATGAGTACAGGTCTCTCTCTGTGTGTGTGTGTGTGTGTGTGTGTGTAGATTTGCATGACTGTATACTTACATGCGTGCCATTTGTACTAGGGTTTGCATGCGTGTAGTACTGCTGCCTCTCTGTGTCTTTGTGTGTCTTTGTGTGTGTGTGTGTGTGTGCATCCTGTCTGCAGGTTTGGGTGATATTTGGATCTTGCGTCTCTATGAGTATATGCATCTATTGGATAGAGACACTCCCAGTCCACCATTAAGCTTGTGACATAAATAGCTTCTTCTGTGTCAAAGAAATTTCAGTGCTGAATTTCTACATGTTGAGTATAGCACAAATTACACAAATCGGTGATGACAAACTGTGAAATTGGTGAGTTTCACTCTGGGCTGTTAACGTGTTTGCGCATCCTTTAGGTGGGTGCCTGTTGATGGCTTGTCAGGTGTGGTTTAATCAGCCCCTCTTTGGGTGGGGGGAGGTGCTGGGAATCAGGTCCATTCTACCCAGTCATGGGGATCGACCGGCAGCCTGATCTAGAAATGGAGGTGATGAGGGAAGCCTCAGCGCAGATGTCCTAACGACATGACAATATTCTGAAAAGATCAAGGGGAAATCTCATTTTTGGCTGTCGACCCAGCTGAGGCCACCTCAGAAGCTGTCAAAACGTTACTCTTTAACTATGGTGGACCTGCTTGAAACACTATGATTAGCCGTGGGCTGCAGAGACAATGGTGTCGCTCCTTGCTAACGTGCAGAAAAACCCTAAATGAAGGTGGCCGAGCGGGATGATAGCGCAGCATCTGCAGACTGGATGCTAATGAGCCGAAGACTAAACATTGTGCATATGGTAATTATGGTAATTGTTTGTGAGTCATGCTTTGGGGGGAATCCTTTCATCATTGTTGTGAGGAATCCCCAGTAGGGCCCAGTAGAGTAAGTGTAGGAGCTGCTGTTAGGAACTGTGTGAACTGTTGAGGTTTTAGGGAGGGGATTAGTGAGCTAACATCCCATTTGAGGGGGTTCTGTTGACATGTACCCAGAGTTACCAGGGACAGGGTCCCCCATGACCCTGAGAAAAATAATCAGTTAGAAGAGATGCTTGTTTACTTACACAAAAATGTTCTGAGGGCATAACGAAAAATGATTGGTTCAGAGCGATAACCAATCAGCTTATAGAGGAGGTGGGTCCAAACAACTGAAGGAGGTGGGACCAAGACATCTGATTGGTTGGCCCCACGTCCTCTAGTTGCTTGGACCCACCTCCTCTATAATCTGATTGGTTATCTCTCTGACCAAATCATTTTTCATTCGGCCCTCAGAAAATTTTTGCATAAGTAAAGCTCCCATGAGCAGAAGAGGTTGTCTGACTGTAGGGGGTCGCAGGTTACTATGGTCTCTTGGCAGTCAACCTCGTTATAAAGGATATGGTTTATGCACCAACAGATCCTCCCCCTCCCTATCTCCATGTATCTCTACTTATTTCCATTTTCTCTCCCTCCAGTCTCTAATACCAGAGGCTGAAGGTCATAAACAAGCCAAAGCTTGCTAACACACTCACATTGCGGTATTAACTGTAACCTTAAGTGCTGAGTTCTTCATACTTAGAAAACTGCTATCCTTAATGATGTGTAATTAAGTATAATGACTTAGAATGTTGGGGAGCATATTATAGGAAAAAGTGGGCTTTTGTAGATAAAGAGGAGAGAGCAGGTGCCGCCTGGTATGTTTTGGCCTGAAGCTCGTGGTGTTTGTTGTCTCAAAAAATGTACTGTAATGAATGGAGCTCTCTGTTTATGAGAAGAAGCTCCACAGGGATGACTGGCAGCAAATGACCCTTTGGCAGCTGGAGGACTGCAGTTTGCTCACAGTTTACAGATGCAGTCGCGAGATTGTCATGCTAGTCAGTGACCCAAGCACCCGGCAGTTTAAACAATTCACTTTTGTGTGCTGAACACCAACCTTTAGGGGCGGCGAAGGGTTCGAATCCATTGTGCAACTAGCAAGTGAGTGAAACTGGAGCATATGGAGGCCGGGATTTGAAGGGTTAGTGTGTGATTCGTAGGAGGTAGGATGAGTAAAATGCTGGAGACAAGACAGGAGCCTAAGGAATGTGGGAGTGGTGTGGGAGAGAGCTGTGGGATTTCAGAGGGTTTGTGTCGCTTATGGCTGTGTGCTGTGGGATCTCAGAGGGTTTGTGTCGCTTATGGCTGTGTGCTGTGGGAGCAGAGACGGGGGGGGCTGATTATCGGAGGATGATGGGTGAGATACAGAACCTTTCATGGGGGGACAGAGATGAGTATGTGGGTTCGGGGCCGGGCCGAGGGACAGAGTGAGGGGACAGGGACTCGGTGCTGTGTGGCTGACATTCGGGTCCCTGTGTCAGGACCCACGTCTCGAAATCAACTCGTTCCCCCTTCGTCAACAAGAGCATGTTCACGCATCAGACACTTCTCTCTGCACAAGAAATGTGGGATAAATTTGGAAATAAGGCATCGGCTTCATGGAACTCTTGGAATGCAGGGAAGGTGTGAATGTTTCGGAGGAGAGGTGAGGTCTGGGATCAGGCCCCACTACTCCCCCAAAATGAACTGAGAATGGGGGTGATGTTTCGCACCGAGATCAGGACTCTGTGCCTGTGGTCTGTGCCAGTTCGTGTCTCGGGGCTGGCAGTCTGATGCTGCTATTGAGCCCTTGAGTAAGACCCTTAATCCCCAATCGCTCCAGGGGAGCTGTGCACTGACCAGCTCTCTGCTGGTCAGGAAGATTGCTCTGTCCTGTTTATGTGTCTGTGTGAGCAAGACGGGACACAAGAGCACACAATTTCCCCACAGGCACGAGTATAGTGTCACTGTTCTATTAAGGTTTGTTTGTTCTGTATGCATCATGGATGGAGAGTGAATGGAAGCCATAGGCCTGCTCGCATGGGTTTTCTGTCCAGTCATTTCAGACAGAAGGTGCAAGATGATGTGTAGATGCTTGTTATGTCTTGTGTCTTTTACATTCTGAGGCCACCAAAAAAAATCACCCCGTTCCCCATTCCAACCCCCACACTGTCAGAAAAAAAGGATGCCATTTTGTATCTTTGCTTGTCCCTGGCGCTGGACCCTCAAGGATCTGCCAGTTGTGCCCTTAGCTGTGGGTAATTGCATCTTGTAAGGTACAGAAATGGACTATGAGGGACATTTTTGTACCACTGGGTTCCTCAGAGTCAATTTCTGTACCTTACAAGGTAGTCTTGTAGTACTCGAGACTGGTCTGGGTCTCAAGACCTTACTCCTGCATTCCCACATCACAGACTCTAATCTCAACATGTATAAGATTATATTTGTGGTGCCCGCAAATTTTTGTATTAGATGAGACAAAAAATTGAGAAATAAGTAGTTTTTCCTCATAAGAAGGATGATATCAAAACTGTGTCAACATTTACGCATCAGATTATGACATATCTGAATAGCCCAGAATGTTCTGAAAACAAAACCATAAAGCACACGTGGTTAACATAGGTACATGCAATGTAATAAGCCTAAAATCAAAGGGATAGAAAAATACTGAAAAATGGTTGGGGTTTCAAAGTACTGTACTGTGATTGAGTGTAAAGCATCCTGCTTCAAAGTTCAAATGAAATCAATAAGGTATGTCTTATGTTACATCTGTACAGAAGCATTTACAGTATACAGGCCACGGAGATGTTTCATAAATCATACATCACAGATGGTCTCAAGACGTGGGAACACGAGTTTGTTATTCCTCTATTTTCTGGTCAGTGGGTAACGCACGCAGAGGTCAGTTGGTGTGTTTCCGACCCCCCTCCCACAGGTTCCTGAGGACGCAGTCTCTGGAGTGGTACTACTGTAATGTGAGGAGGCGCTTCAAGCGCTTCGGGGGAGCCAAGGTGCTGAAGACGCTCTACAGGAAATTCACTGCGGACCAGCACCCGCCGTCGGAGCTGTCAGGTACGGCGTGGGTATGGATGCTGCCAGTAGGCTCCTGTCTGTCTTTGAACCCAGGGGAACGCCACATTAGGGAGAGAATGTGGAAACTCCTCCACACAGAATGGGGGCAGCATTTGAACCTCTAGCACCAACACTGCAGACAGCTGTTATCAGTGGCAGCTGGGTATCACATGTTTTTTGGGCCGGGGCACAGTTTTGGGGGGGGGGGGGGCAAAAAACTGAAGAAGCACTTCATAGCTCAGCAAGATCAGATCTAAAAACAACACAATGTAATGTTGCCTGAACACTGACCAGTAGCACTACTTAACACTTAAAACGTCAATCCCCAGGTGTAAACTTGTGCTCGATCGCTTGCCAGCTGCTGAATTTGCAAAGCACGTCGGTCCGGTCCGTGTTCCTTTATCCTTTCTTTGTATTCCAACGAACGCCTTGTGAAAGTGCATTTTTGTCAGGAAATTTCCAATTTTTCTTTGACTTCTATGGTTCCACTTGAAGTCGGTGTCTCCTGAAAGTACCGGACAGTTAGGGTGTTCGTTTGTGCCCTGCGATGAACTGGCGTTCCATCCTGAGTGTATGTGCACGTTGTGGTCTTTGCAGGATGGGATAGGCTTCAGGCCCCCATCTGTGTCATCTACTGAATAAGTGTTTGGATGGTAAATGAAGTACAAGTAGAATGTATTTAACATGTCTTGTCTTTTTACTGCGCAAAGGTCATTATACTTATGGGGGGGGGGGGGGTACTGCAGTGCATGGTGGGAATAGTAGTTTTGTACC